TTACCCAGCTCCATCTCCCATAGAGATGTATTGGGGAAATTCCCTCTGAATTTTTTCCTCTGCAGCCCCCAGCCAGATCTGGCCCATTTTCAAAATTAATCTTTTTTTTTACCAGCTGGCAAATTCTAGTCCTGCTCAGTTTTCAGAGAGTTGATGGTCAGACAGAGTCCTGAGCTTGTTTGCATAATTTCTTTGCAACATTCCCTTGGACTGGAAAGAATAAAAGGAAGAGAGAGAATGCATACTTCTTTAGGGAGAAATTTACTCTCTTATTCATAGAAACTGATAAGGTGGTAGCCCAGATCTTGTCACTCCCATGTCAAACTCCCCAGTTTCCTTGGATTGCTTTGATTCCTCTGAAAAACTCTGCAAGGAAGGATTTGAGGGTGTTTTGACTGATGCTATAAGGAGCCATTCATGTGGGAAGGAAGGAAGGAAGGAAGGAAGGAAGGAAGGAAGGAAGGAAGGAAGGAAGGAAGGAAGGAAGGAAGGAAGGAAGGAAGGAAGGAGTTAAAAGAGTGGTATATGGGATATGTGAATTACCATTTTCACTGGCCTTTTGGAAAACTTTAAAAATTTGCCTTTTCTGACAGGCATAAGAGCATGAGTTACTGTAGTTGTTCCGTTTCAGAACACATACATGTAGCAGAATCTTATCTGTGGCTTAGTTTGAAATAAGGCTTGGTGACAGGCATGTAAAAAAGGTGGGATAAAACTCTAACAACAACAATGTCCAGGTCTGCATTTAAAAAAAATAAAAATCTAATGTCTCAGCAATTAATACATTGATTTTATTGTTGTTTTTAATATGCTTGATTTTTGACACCACCCAGACACTTTGATCATGGATAGTGTAGAAATCACGTAAGTAAATAAATAATGATTATTTCAGCACCTAACAGTCAAGCCCCTGAAGCTGTATCTATTGTAAAAAGTGACTTCTGATTATAGAAGATGGTGTTACAGATGCTGCCTTGGCTTGACTCTTATTCTAATTCATAAAAATAAAGTGCTAAGCTTGTCTTCTGTTACACTGGCCTCTAGCATCCTCACCAGTTTACCTGTTGATAAATCGTGATTGCCACACCCCCTATTGCCCCATCATGACTGCCACACCCCCTTTGGCAGCCATTTTGTGAGAACGCCCTCAACATTTCAAATGTGCCTGTCCCACCAGCCCCGAAGGCTACCTACTCTGTTTTAAGATACTGTCAGACTTTTAGGTGGCCTTGGAACTCTGGGAGTTGTAGTCCAACGCACCTAGAGGGCAACAGGTTGGAGAAGGGCAAATTTGTACCTCCCCAAAACATTTAATTAAACAGCTCCAGAACCTCTCTGCAAAGAGCACATCCCTTGAAAAAGGAATGTCATCGTTTCTTGATTTGTTTGTTCATTTATATTTATTAGATTTATCTCCTATCTTTCCTTCAGAGTTCAAGTCTGCATACACCGTGCTCCCTTTTCCTATTTTCCCCACAACGACCCTATGAGGGTGAGCTTCTGTAGCGGACAGCACCGCTTTCCACTCACCCGGAGGCCAAAATGTCTCTTGTAGCATCACATCACAATGCAAACTCAGCTCTTTTGTGTTACCTCACAACCTCGTCACACCCATATGGTCATTTACCCCCCTTGCCTTGCAGGTGCCTATAGCTGATTTGAACCTGGTTTATCTGTTTATTCAATCTGTAGGCCGACCATCTCAAATACATAGAATCACAGGGTTGGGAGGGACCTCGAAGGCCTTCTAGTCCAGCCCCCATGACTCTGGGAAGCTAACCGTGATGAAAAATAGAATGCAAACATAACAGATCAAGAAATAATTGACTTAGATGTTGATTTAGGGTTCTTTGGTCCTTGACGTCCAGCACTTTAACCATTAGCTCACACTGGTTCTTGGTTGGAAGAAGGCATGTGGAATATTGTGCAAAGTGTACGGCAGTGTTTTTCAAACGTGGCCACTTGAAGAAGTGTGGACTTCAACTCCCAGAATTCCCCAGCCAGCATCTCCAGAGCAGAGCCAGAATGGAGTAGTGTGAATCGTGTGGGGAGAACCACATGCTATTTCCCCCTTGACCCATACATTTCCCCATTGATTTCGGACCAGTCCTGTTCTCTCAGGCCAGTCCAATTTGCTGTGGTGGGAAAAAATGGGGAAGACACTACTATGTATAATGCCTTGAGCTCCTGGCAGAGAAATGGGATAGAAAGCTAACCATTAAACCAATACTGGTTTATCTAATCCGGTACTATTTACTCCAGCAAAGGGTAGGCTCCGAGACCAATGATCTTATATAAATGATGTGTGCTTAGAATTAAACAGTTCTGAGCCCTGCAATTTGCTTTAAGTACCAAAATGGGGGTGCACTAGCAGTGCAAAACTGCACCCCTACTCACCCTAAACTTTCTTAATTTCATCTCCTTTAAAGCAAGGGGAGAGAGCGCCATTTTGGTTGTGTTCATCGTTAAAGAGTTGGGAGCTCAGCATTGGCTCGATCCACCACTTGAACTCCTGGTCAATGGGTTGGGCTCCTGACTTTTTTATGTGAGTGGCCCAAAGATTAACCGTAGGCTCTTCTGCTGGCCAAGCTGACCGCCCCAGCGGCCAGCCCAATCTTCAAAATAGGACAAGCGGTCTCTGGACAGCAGAGCTGCTAACAGTGTCATTTCCTATAGGTGGGTTCCTTCCCAGATTTCAGGTTCCTATCCCAGCGGGTCTGCAAATTAAATTTTGAAATAACAACCAAATCCATCTGATCTGAATTGCTCGTAGACAAACCTTTAGCCACGTGCCATGTACAGCTCATGGTTTCGCCTTTCGTTATGGTGGGTGAGTAATCCACAGCCTTCATAAAGGGACATCCACGGTGTGTGTGGGTGTGTCAAAAAAGTCACAATGGTGGCTGCAGTCACCTGCTTGAAGCCTCATATCTTCGTTATGTGCATCACAATGGGCGTTGAAAAGAGTTCAAAGGTTCAAGCTTTGAACACCCAATCATGGCTGCCATCTTAATGCTTTTGACTGCCCCCCCCCCCTCGGA